AGGGGAAAGGGGGTGGCCTCACGTGAAAACTCATGTGGTATGCCAAGGCGTCGGGAATTGACGTAGATATTCAAGAGTGCAGGTATGCGGGACTTCCCATACGCAAGAGTCGCCAGTGGAAGGGAGGGCCATTCCTAGTAGTAAGGCCAGGAACCCCTAGAAGCGTCAAAGTAGCGTCCTAGTAGCACCTAGTAGTAAGGCCAGGAGCCCCTAGTAGCACCCCACTCTAAAGTCCCGACAGGAGGGAGGGGTAGGGAGAGAAGAGAAAAAGAAGGAGAAGAAAGGAGAAGGGGAAGAAGGTGTTCCCAGCTACGACACAAGCGTCCAAGGGTTCCCAGCTATGACGAAAGCAAGGGGGGAAAGACAGAAAGGAGAAAAGAGAGAGAGAGAGAGAGTGAAAAGAGAGGAAGGGGACAGGTGTTCCCAGCTATGCGCGAGCGTCCAGGGACACACCAGGGAGAAGGGGGCGAAGCTGAGTATTACATTCAGGAACACCCCAACAAGCGAAAGGGGAAGAGAGGGGGGGGGGGAGGAAGGGGGACTAAGCTCTCGACAGGTTCCAATGAGCCTTGAACAAGCTTTGGTCGCTGCGACCACGTACGGCTTGCCCGAGGGCTGCCACCTTTGACCGCTGCGGTCACGTATAGGCATGAGCCATCTTGGAATGCAATAATCCGACAAATCTTGGCAAAAAACTTTGGCACAAGCCTCCTGCTGTCCGCTTCGGACACCTACGTTCCGAGGCAGGAGGAAGAACGACAAACCCCCGTTCAACGGGTCCACGGGAGGCACTCTTCGGGCTCATCCCGGGCTGGCCGAGGCCAGACACACTTAGGATAGGGTGTACTGAACTGAACGCGGTGCCACACGCCGGCCTAGGTGACCATTGCCTAAGAGTACAGGTAAGGGAACCTGAAAAGGAAGTGGAGGTCTATCAAGTTCAGTGTGGCCATCAACTCTGAGCAGGTACAGAAGTTTGCGTCCAAACTTCCATCCAGTCGATTTCCATAGCTTCGTTGGCGTGACTAGGAAATCGACCGTCACGCCCCCTGCTCAAACAAACAATCTCAAAAAACAATCCAAACGGATCCCTGTGACTACAAGGGCTGTAGAAGGCCTGGAAGAACAACTCGCTTGTCTTGACATGGAGCTCAGCCACGATGCTGTCCTTGAAGGTCTGGATGAAGAGCTTGATTCCAGCATCGGTGGGCTTTCCTTCACTTGTCTTCGTCTTCAACTTTGAGTGGTCGAGCTTCCTGACAGACTTGTAGACAGCACCGGCGAACGAAGGTGCACTGGGGTCGCGGCTTGGAGGGCTTCTTGACCTTCGCGGCCGTGATACAGGTCCCATGCCCTCTCCTCATACTCTCCAAACATCTGCTCGGCAGCCCATGCCTGTCGGTGAGGATGCTTCCAGCATAGGCCGGCACGGATGGACTAGCTGAAGGCAACCTCAATCAAGTCCAGCAGCGCAAAGGTAGCTGCCCGCCTCCGTAAGCAAAGCGACAGGAGCGGAGGAGCGCAGGCGCAGCGCCGGCAGTGAAGGCGGCGCCAGCAGAAGCCCGGGAGCGGATCACCGGCTCCACTTACCATCAAAATCCCGAAGTCGGCACGACGGGTGAAGGCAGCGGCCTTTTCCTTGAGCGCTCTGCGGTTCAGCAGAGTGTCAGTGCAAACATGGAATGCAAACAGTGGACAAGTGCATGACCGTCATGGTGCTGGTTCTGTGGAATTCCAGAGTATATATATATAGTCGTAGTAGAAGTAGAAGTAGAAGTAGAAGTAGAAGTAGAAGTAGAAGTAGTAGTAGTAGTAGTAGTAGTAGTAGTACTAGTATGTACGCATTATACATAATGATTTTCGTGTGAAAGATGTTGAAACTGCAAAAGAAAAGCAGGTGATGCTGGAGTGTCCAAGCCAATCAATACACTCTGTTGTGGCATACAATTTATTGTTGATAACTACGCCGACTAAGCACCGATTGCCAATGCAAAGGAACAGCAATCATGCGACATGCACGGGGAGTGTGTGTTCAGAATGGGTTCAGAAGGCCCTGAAAGTAGCCACGTAGCCCATGCCTTCCGCTCTGCTTGGACCAGACTTTCAAAAACCTTAAGTATCTACAGTAGATACGAGGAAACTGTTTGAAGCTCCAATCAGCAGAGGCATTCCAGGCTCACTGAGGCCTGGCGCTTCTCAGCACTTGCGGTCAAAGGTTTGCTCCAAACCTCAAGGAGAATTGCTCACAGTAGCAAACAGCAATAGTAGGCACATGCTGTATATGCTTTAAGGCGCTGTCTGTGGACGGTTGTTTGATCTGATCTTATCAAAAACCTGTAAATTTAGGATCATAACGCCACGATTTGAAGCATGCATGCATCTTCAACCGTCCATCCTGTTGATGTGGCATCATAGCGAAGCAACACCAAGCAAATGATGGAACACTGGGATGATCCAAAAAAGACATGTTCAAGTACACTACGGGAGAAGTCCAGCCCTATCTATTTGTTTTGGAATGTAGTGCACTGCCTGCGTACTCGATGGCTGCTGGCCAACCTGAACAAGCTTGTAGTAGACTATCTTGCTACGGAACAAGGATGTCACAGCATGCTGTGGGAAGAAGGCACAGGTGAAACTGCCTCCCTAAAAGTCGGCTTGGCTGAATAATTATATATTTCATTTGTTGTATATGGCACTCTCAAATGCTTTGCTCTTTTCGCCAGGGCCGTGGCATGACCAAACCCTGCAGAAGTTGTATTGTCAGCACGGGTCCTTTTTACACATTTTGCCTGCTGGTCAAGTCTGAGCTGGCTGGATGAAAAGTCAAAAGGGCAGCAAAGAAGCAACTACGGCCTACACAACTCGCAGGGTTTGCAAAAACTATATATCATGGCTTCATGCCATTGAAGACCTCTGGGAGTGGGTGGCTGCTTCTGATGCTTTTCTCCAGCCATCTCATCCGGCGGCATCAGCTTTGAGCATGAAGGAAACGAGCGTGGTGTTCCAAATGTTCTCCTCAGCAGCAGCCAAAAAGGAATTTGCAGCAACTGCCGGGTAGGTGTTGTTGTTTACGCTACCAGCGCTGTTAACGACCCAATGGCAACATTACCAGTTTATAGTTTCTTTTTCATGTAACCGCCGCGTTAGCTTGGTTGTCGACATCGTGTGGTTCGGGGGACGGCGGGTGGTGGGGAAGTGTTGCCCCTATGCGCCACCGATCTCGCTTGACACAACAAGTTTCATTTTCAATGTTTTTTCTTGAAACTATTGTAGTTTCCTGACTCATATGCATTTGGTGCAATCGACTTATCTATGTCAAACCCAGAAGGAATACAAGAAAAAACACTTAGAGAAAACCCTTCCTGATGAATGTGTTTTCCTCTAACTCTATCTCTCTCTCTCTCTCTCTACCGATCCATCCATCCAGCCATCCATCCCTCGATTCTACTTTCTCGTTTATCAATCAAAAAGCTTTGCTACAAGAAAGGGTGGATGTACTTTGTGGAATATGAATGTCCAGGGCCAAGGCCTTCCAAGGTGGATTCTTGCTTCCAATCGTGGATTCTTGCTTCCAAACTTGTGAACATCGTGCAAGGTAGAAGTGAAGCCGCGTCTTTCTTTTGAACGCCTAGTTCCTAGATCTTTGCCTAGTGAAAGGGCTTGATGGGCTTAGTAAATTTAGTTGTTTTGCAGCAGGGCCTTGTTAAGACCCTGCCTCATACCTCACTAGTGTTTCATCTTGCAAAAGAACTGATGGACTAGGTAAACTAAAACTTTGTTGCTGTCAGGCTGGACTAAGACCGTTCGTTACTCACAATACTTCTTTTAAGGGGCAATGGGAGGCTTGTGCATTGTGCCTTTCTCTTCAAAAAGTTGCGCTACTAGATAAGAAGCCCTTGCGCGAGATACATCCCTCCTTTCCTGGAGTTCAAAGAACCCAGTCCATCAATTCTTCTGCAAGAGGAAGGTCTCGTAGTAGTGAGGTATGAGGAAGAGTCGTAGGACGGCCTGCTGTATAAGAATGGATGCGGTCGGTCTCGAAGAGACTCACCCCGAGTGGACATGTATTATATGTGTGGAGCTTCTGCTGGCGGTACAACCAGAGACGGAATCTGAAGGATTCGCTCGCAAAGTTGGCTGCCAAGTGGAATAAAACGCACTGAGGACTGCTCTGCGACAACAAGGATTCCGCGCAGGCTTTGAGTCGCACTTTGGTCGTGGAATTCCGTGGGTTTCCAAAACGTGCGCGTCGCAGACAGTGACAGACACACCTCCGGGCTATAGTTCCACTGGGTTTTAAAAGACAGGCTCAATGCCTTTAAAAAATGGGACGAAATGACATGCACCTCTCACATTTTTAGAGGTTGCAATTACACCAGGCCTCTAACAACGCCGGTACCTTGTTTCTCCTTTGCGATGTTCTCGGTAAACCCTTGCTATCCCCTGCGCACTTTCATACGAACCAATAGATGTCCATTTCAAGATCGCCTCCATCACGGATCCCCTCTATCGCTAAGGCTCGAATGAAAGTGGACATGAAGTAGTAGCTGTGATCATAGCCAGCCTGCATCCTGCTTCAACGCTCACGTTGGATATGCAACAATTTGAGCACTCAGCGTTGACGGCAGAGTCAGGGTTTCAATATGCTTTTCCATCCGTTTTGTGCTTCAACCACAGCCTCACTGAAACGTAGATGGCCTAGCTAGTATGCATGACCACGGTCATGTCTGTTTGTATAGAGCTTTGAAAGTGTACGGCACATCATCTCTCGCTCATGCCTAGCACCTATCCCGGTGGTCAGCAGGCTCCTGAAGGTCACTGGCACCTTCGCCTTCTGAGCGGCCTCCATGAACGCCAGGGGCTGGAGCTGGTTCACTTCACCCACCAGGAAATTGTCAGCCTTGGATCTGCGAAGTGCCAGAATCACTGGGCCCCACGTCAGGCTTGTGGAACAGGGCGTGATGTGAAATGATCATGCTGTCTGGAAGTTTGAGTTCCGTCTGGATCGGAACCACATACAGCATTACATATATATATATATATATCGTCTGGTTACCCAACTGGATGCATTGCATGACATAGGTGTGTCTCAAGATGAGGGGCCTTCTTCAATACAATGCAGTAATTCTTCGACGTTCCTCAGTATTACTACTCTCACATTATCACATTCCTTACAAACTCGGACATGAAACCCGTTCTTGACTGTTTCTCAAAACAATGAACTCTGCTTCAGCTACAAGCACCTGCAGTCCACAAATCTGCGCCAACACAACTCGCCTAAGCACCTAGGTCTTGATGAGACGGAAGTAGCTTTCCCCATGAATAAGTGAAGGAACAAATAAAACATAATAACATGATCTGTCCGTTAGGAATTGGGGGTGCCTGACTGAACCCAAGTTTCCACCTATGGCTCTAATCAACTGGTGTTAGGATCAGTAGCTGGGCTGAAGTCTATTATTTGGCTGTGGCCTGCTCAAAAAAAAAAACCAAGGACGTGCAGGTTGTGGTCTATTTTTTCCCTACAAGGGCACTTTGGACGGCACCCTGCTGAGCCACAGCCATTTGATTTATTGCACTCGATTTATATAGGTTAGTTAAAAATCCGCCCGCACCGAAGGTGCTGAGGCGTTTTATAGGGCACGCATGATTCCGTAGTACCGCCAGTGCTAAACTGTAGCTTTAGCTAGGGGGGGGGCCACTTTCGCTCTAGAATCCTGTGTTTTTTCACGTTTTTGGAACCGGCTTGAAGTGCTTTCGTGCTAATGTTGGGTATCTTGAAGGCTTTAGGGATGCAAGAAATGCGAGTTTCTGCTTTGCATCATCTGCATCACCCGAATCATCTGAGCGGCACACTATCTAACGGACATGTCTGCGAGATAGGGACTTGAACGTCCGGGTACGTGGGT